TGGTTTAGGGTGGCGCAGTGACATGCGAGCTAGAAAAGGATCGAGAGATGTGAGGCTTCCAACACCGGTGACTGGGGTTGGGGGATGCAGTGGGCGAGGCTGTTTTGTGAAGAGACTGAGTCTGGGGAGATGGGAGCACCCAGGAAGGAACCAGGTGAGCAGATGGAGCTGGGAGGAGAGGCCACAGCAGCGTTCACGGCATCCAAGGCCAGCCACCGGGTGGGGGAAAAGGCTCCCTACTGCCCCAAGCCTCCCTCTCTGACCTTCTTGCTTTCTCCAGATCTTTCTTAGCACTTGAATCATCTCCTTTTTCTTGATTCTCTTACCCGTTCCCTCCATGTCCATCCCAGCAATAATTAAAATGAGGTCACCATCCCGACCCACACATTCTCGAAGGCAACTGTGATTTGGGCAAATCCCTGGAAAACCCATAGAAGCCAGAAAGGTTAGGATCCATTTTGAGGTGGCTCCGGAGCAGGCTTTTTTCTGGCCTTCCATATTGTTGGGGATGGGTGCGAGGTGGGTTACCAGGACACCGGCGTCCTGTACTGCATCCCCACTGTCCCTGAGAAGCCTCTCCTTCCCCCCCCGCCACCCCAGTCTTGCTGGAACGAGTATCTGACAACTCGGATTGAGCAGAACCTTGTGTTGAATTGCACCTGCCCCATTGCTGACTGCCCTGCGCAGCCCACGGGAGCCTTTATCCGGGCCATTGTCTCCTCACCAGACGTCATTTCCAAGGTAGCCCCTCTTCTGCGGGAGACTGCCACGTGCAGCCGGAGGGACAGGCCCCAGGGAGTGGACTGGCGTGCAGAGGGTGGGGTGGGGAGGGGAGGGGTGGTGGTTACAGAGGTGTGGTGTCCTGAAGAGCCGTGCCCTTACCTGGGGTGCCTATGTCCCCCACAGTACGAGAAAGCCCTCCTGCGTGGCTATGTGGAGAGCTGCTCCAACCTGACCTGGTGCACCAACCCCCAGGGCTGCGACCGCATCCTGTGCCGCCAGGGCCTGGGCTGTGGGACCACCTGCTCCAAGTGTGGCTGGGCCTCCTGCTTCAACTGTAGTTTCCCTGAGGTGGGTGCCTGCCCAGCCCTGCCCCGGCCAGCACCTCTCTCCGCACCCCCCCCACACACACTCACACACTCACACACTCTGCCTTGTCCTCCCCTCTGCCCCTGGGTTGAGCTCTGTTTCTCCCCATGCAGTCCTCCACATGTGACCTCCCTCCCTTGCACACCCGCGGCGCCACCCTTGGCCAGGGCTCAGGGCTCAGCCGTGACCTCCCTGCCCCCTCTCTAGGCGCACTACCCTGCCAGCTGTGGCCACATGTCCCAGTGGGTCGACGATGGCGGCTACTATGACGGCATGAGCGTGGAGGCCCAGAGCAAGCACCTGGCCAAGCTCATCTCCAAGCGCTGTCCCAGCTGCCAGGCTCCCATCGAGAAGAACGAGGGGTGTCTGCAGTAAGAGGGGTTACTGCGGGCATTGGTGGGGTCAGAGGGCATGGGAGAGGGTGGGAGGCCTGGCGGTGCGGAGGGCCCGTGGGGCTTCCCAGATGGCTGGGCGAAGGAGGGCAATCACTCACTATCCCCAGCGTGGCGCCCTCCGGTGACGCCTGCACCTTAATGCTCCTTGCCCTGCTTTTAAGTCTGCACCACATGGGGTGGGAAGCGAGGGCGCGCTCACTAGGGGTTGGTAAGGTTAAAGAGACTGTCAGGGCCCAGAGGGGCCAGGGCGGGTTCGGTGGGGCCTCCAGCCCTCTCACCAGCCAGCTTCCTCCATAGCATGACCTGTGCCAAATGCAACCACGGATTTTGCTGGCGCTGCCTCAAGCCCTGGAAGCCAAATCACAAAGACTACTACAACTGCTCTGCCATGGTAAGGGGCCGGGGCCGGGGCCGGAGGGCCCAAGGGCAGTCAGGATGGGACATGGCTGCAGGCCTGGGCAGGGAGGGTTCTGTGTCCTGAGCTCTTGGGACGGGGCCTCCATGTGAAGACAGAAGCCTCCTGGGCCTCTAGGCTCTGGGAGTTCTGTCCTGGGAGGTGTGTGCATTCTCCGAGGCACCAGGCCAGAGCAGAGCAGAGCCTGTCCCTCGCGTCAGAGCCTGGCACCCCTGCTTAGTAGGTGGCTTTGGGCCAGTTTCCTTGCCCACGCCTCGGCATCCTCCCCTGCACAGGGGGAGAGTAATGTGACCTACTTCATGGAGTTAGGATTAAATGAAAAGGTCTGGGTGAAGAGTCTGAAGGCCTACACGCGGGGTGCCTTGTGTGTTCGCCCCGTCCTGCCCAGCAAAGCACCCAAGAGCCCTCCCTCTCCACCTGTCCTTACCAGGTAAGCAGAGCAGCTCGCCAGGAGAAGCGGTTTCAGGACTATAACGAGAGATGTACTTTCCATCACCAGGCCCGGGTGAGCTGGGAGGGAACGGTTGTGTGGGTGAGGAGGTCAGAGGGCTGGGGTGGATGGCGGGGCAGGGGCCCCAGATCCGAATCGGGTGGGTGGCGCTGATCCGCCTCACCCTGCACAGGAGTTCGCCGTGAGCCTACGGAACCGTGTGTCTGCCATCCACGAGGTGCCACCCCCCAGATCCTTCACCTTCCTCAGTGACGCCTGCCGGGGACTGGAGCAGGCCCGCAAGGTGGTGGGGGCGGGGGTGGGGGGATGTACCAAGGGGTTCTGGCGGGCTCGGCTGCTGGCCTCTAACCCTCAGGAACGGACGGAATGAGGCAGCGGGGAGCGGGTTGGTGCCAAGGCTCAGCAAGGAAAGGCTGACTTGGGCTCCCGCAGGTGCTGGCCTACGCCTGCGTGTACAGCTTCTACAACCAGGGCACGGAGTACATGGACGTGGTGGAGCAGCAGACCGAGAACCTGGAGCTGCACACCAATGCCCTGCAGATACTCCTCGGTGCGGCCTGGTCCCCCGCTTGCACACTCCTTTCCCCTGCCTGTCCACCCCCACGGCATCCCCTCCCAGCAAACAGTGGGCAAAGTGGCACCTCCACCCCAGTCCTCCTCCTCCTTCACAGCCTTATGCGACCAGCCTTTTAAAATTCAGGTATGAAGGTATGTGGTACTTGCTGTAGGTGCCTAAGGGCACAGGCCTTCACCTGACCTGTTCGATTCCCATCTGCCCCCTCCACTGGGATGGAGGCCCCATGAGAATGAATATCTAGTCTAGAGCCCTGCCTGGTAGGTGTGGGTAGGACTTGGTAGATATGTTCAGTAGGTGTTTGAAGGGAGGGATGGAAGGAAGGAGCGGAGCAAGGGAGCCCCTGTGCCCTGCCCCCTCTGCAGAGGAGGCGCTGCTGCGGTGCGGAGACCTGGCCTCGTCCCTGCGCCTCCTGCGGGCTGACTGCCTCAGCACCGGCCTGGAGCTGCTCCGGAGGATCCAGGAGAGGCTGCTGGCTATCCTGCAGCATTCTACCCAGGTATGTGGCCGGCCTGACCCTGGGCCTCCTGGGCCCAGCACAGCCCCTGCCCTGGGGGGGCGTGCAAGAGGAAAGGCGGCTGTTTGGAGACCTGGGCGTGCACCCCAACTCCTGGGCCGGCCTGCCGGATGTGGTGGGGCTCTGCCACCTAACCGCCTGGCAAGTGCTACAAAATAGTCAGCCCGCATCAAGGGTATTAGCCCAGATGCTTGCTCATCAGAATCACTCGGGGAACTTTTCCGTACTTCCCCAGTAGGAACGTTGGGATGGGGACCCACTGGGGTTCTTCCCAGCTCTGATACACTGATGTTGTGTCTGAACAAGGAGTCCTGCCCTCGGGGAGCTTACAGAGGAGTAGGTAACTTGGGTAGACAGGACAGGAACATACACCGTTAGCTCCTGAAGCACAGGGCCGGGTGCCTCGCTGGCACGACCCGTGTCCCCCGGAGTTCCATGACATGCAGGCTTGGGGCTGTGGAGTCCCAGGATGAGGGAGGGAGAAGAGCTAGGAGCATCTCTGCCGGTCCCCCCCCGCCCCCCCGCACCTAGGAGGCCGGCAGAGAAATGGTGGGTGAAGGAATGCTGGGCAGAGGCCCAGGCCCTCCTCTACTCTCCGACTTCCCACATGTCCCCGGCTCCTCGCCAGGACTTCCGGGTCGGTCTGCAGAGCCCATCGTTAGAGACCCGAGAGGCGAAAGGATCCAACGTGCCTGGCAGTCAGTGAGTAGGATGGGCAGAGCCCCCGCAAGGGTGTGGGACATGCGTGGCTTCGCCTCAGGCTGAGCGTGGCACCCTCCCGCCCACCCTCCCCAGGCCCCAGGGCCCCTCTGGGATGGAGGTGGAGGAGGAGGAGGAGGAGGAGGAGGAGGTGCCCGAGTGGCAGCAGGACGAGTTTGATGAGGAGCTGGACAACGACAGCTTTTCCTACGACGAGGAGTCTGAGAACCTGGACCGAGACACTTTCTTCTTCGGTGACGAGGAGGATGATGAGGCCTACGACTGAGGGGCGGGACACGGGGGAGTCCTGGGGGCCGAGGCGGGGAGGTCACCCCTTCCTGCCGTCTTCGGGGGAGGCGATCCCCAGTGTCTACAGTACCTTCTGTTTACTGAATAAACTTTTTTCCACATCCTTCTCTGGAAGCAGGCTGCGCAGCTGCGTTCCTAAGGGCTAACGTCAGCTCCCGGCTCCCTCTGTATACCCGCACCCCTCACTCTTCACTTCCCTTTTAGACCTCCGGACACTTGTGCTCTCAGAGAAGGCCCAGAGCAGACCCATCTGGCCTAAGCTGGACAACGGGAAATGAAAGGTCCGCATGGTCCAGGGCCAGGTGCAGGCCTGCGCGTGCGTCCCGGAACCCCACCCAGCATCAGAGGAGACCGAGAAACGGCCACCCTCCGGGCCAGCCTTTCCCAGACTCTTGAACATTCCTGGCACGAGTCTGAGGGTGTTAGGAAGTACTCTCTTTTGGGGGCCTACAGAATGTTAACGGGTCTCTCTACATCTTGAAGTGAAGCAGGAAAGAAAAAGATATTCCTGAGGACCTCTCCCGCCCTATCACTCATAGAGACGACATAGGTAGAATTTTAAACATACCTTTTAATTTGGTAATGGGGCGAAGAGGTAGGAAGGGTACCAGGGCAGAGTCTGGGATTAGAAGAATTAACAAAGTGGGGTTAAATCAAGCAGCTGGGTCAGGGGAGGCAGCAGCCACCTGCTAGGAAGGGTCACCCTCAAAGTACTGATCCAGCATGGCCTCCACCTGGCCCTCCTCGTAGTCCAACACCTGGAACCTCGAGCCGTCTGCTGCTCCCCGGATCATGGCTGAAAGCACTGAGAAGGGCGGAGGGAGGTGAAGGTGCCACTTCCATCCGCACTTCCCCTCTCCGCTCCCTGCCCTGTCCCGTTTTGGGGATAGGGCACTGTCCTGAGCCCCCCCACCCCCCAGGGCTGGGTCTGCAGAAGGCTGGGGTGGGAGGAGGGCCCCCCCCCCCAGGGCTTAGTGCTCACCTCGGCCAGACTGCGGACGGAAGAGGCACAGGATCCGCTTATTGAGGGCCACGGCCCGGCCCAGCTCATAGCCCACACCCAACGATGGCTGGGTCACTTCTGCCACCACCACTGGGAAGAAACAAGAGACCAGCTCAGTATCTGGGGCTTGTTAAGGGACAGATGACAGAGTCTGGGCGTGGCGAGAAGGGAACTCCCTCCCTGATGTGGACGACAGGCATGTCCAGGGGATCTAACATCCCAGAGAAGTTTGTGGGTAGGAGGGGGGACCACTTACCATCTGCCTGCTGCAGCCAGGCCAGGTTCCGCTCATGGATGAGCCTGTCACCCCCAGCAGCCTCTTCCCCTGTGGAGGAAGGAAAGCTGGTCAAGGCCAAGCCCCTGCCTGGTCCTCAGCACTCAGTACCTCTCCTGTGCCCTCGCCACCCCTCTGTCTGCCCTGCTCAGCGAGGGGGGAAGGCGTGCCAGGTGACCTCTGAGGACCCAGGGAAAGGATGAAATGGAATATAGCCACAAGAACACTTCCAGGAGAGCGTGATTAGGGCCAGATGAGGGGCACAGAGGAGACTACGGGAAGGACTGTTCCCTCACTGTGGGTCAGGGATCAGAGATGGAGAGGAGGACGAACCACCAGAACCTAGCTGAGCGGCTCACAGGCTTTGGTGGGTGCCGCATCAGCTGAACGCTTGATATGCTTGATAGGATGCCCGGCTGCCTCAGGAGGTCTCCAGGCGATTGGGAGCCCCACCAGACTTCGAGCACCAGTGCAGGAATACAATGCATGACCAGTAGGAGGTGGTGGGAAGGAAGGTAGAGGGGGGGCTCTTCCTGGGGTCAGAGGATAAGGCCCTCAGTTCTGGCTTGATGAAATGTTACTGCCCGCATCAGAGCAGAATCCCTGGAGAGCTTGTTAAAAATACATCCTAAGCCTTCACCCCAGACTGCTATGAGAGCCTGTATTTTAAATAAGTTCCCTCAGATGACATTCGAGCACACTAAAGTTCCAGAACCACTGGGTGGAGGCGTGGACAGGACCTGCCCTGAAACCAACGAACCTTAAGCTTCAGGGCCCGGCACTTGTTGAGGCCCCTTCCAGCGCCCTAGCAATTTCGCTTTGTGATTTCATCTGATGAGGGAGCAGAAGGTAAGCTGAGGACAAAGCACAAGCTGACACAGGGCAACCCCTGCCCCACTGCCAGGCGGGATCCCTACGACCTTCCCCAGGCACTCCCGGCTGCTCTGGGTAGAGCTAAGGGAAGGGAAACACAAAGGGTGAACTAATAGAGATCACAGTCCTGCAGGACAGGAGCCTTCCCTTGGTTTACCAGTGTCTTAGTGATTTACAAGAAAAAAGCATTTGTATCAATAACCTAACTTCCAGAGATCCATCACTCCATTTCCTGGAGCCCTAGCATCACCCTCCCCTCCACAGTGATGTGGGACACAAAGGTAAAGGAAATGCAGGTAAAAATTAAATATCCTTAACCTGCAGCCCATTGACAAATACTTGCAGGCAGGGTATAACGTTCCTCCAGGAAGCTCCCAACAGTCTTAGTGCTTTGCTAAAGGGGAAACAACCTTAGCCTGACAAGGGCAAGGCCTCCAGTATCTTCTTCAGAACATCAGAGTCCTCTCCGGCACCTTCCTTTCTCCTTACCTCCCCCAACTCTCAAGTATATAATCAGCCACTCCTCAAAACCCCAGGGCAGCAGCTCTTTCTGCCCACGGGCACCTGTCCCCGTGCTTTAATAAAATCACCTTTCTGCACCAAAGACATTTCAAGAATTCCTTGTTGGCCGCTGACTCTGCACTCCAACCTCACCAACATTCCAAAAACTACATCACACCTTTTTAAAGAGGTCTCCAAAACTGCATTAGGTCCCACAAACCCTGGATCCGCTCCTGGGGCTGGCGAGGGGAAAGCACTTAAAGGTTTTCTGAGCAGAAGTACAAGAGTTCAAGCACGACTTTCAAACTAGAAGACGCGCGGAGATTCCAGACCAAAACTGATCAAAGCGGCGCTTTAGAAAGACCCGGCAGCCAGGAAGTAACAGCCTGATGAGAGGGCATGAGAGAGATGGTGGTGGTGAAAATTGGGGTCCTCGGGGTCCAAGAGAGGGCGGATACCCTGACCGCCAAGGGGGAAGCAGGAGGATAAACTCTTGTCTTAGGTGGGGGAGCAGATGCCTGCGGGTGAGGCGGGAACTGCAGCTGCCCCATTCATTCCCATTCTGCTCCTCCCTGCTCCGTCCCTGGAAAGAGGGGAAGAAAATTCTCTAGGAAAGAACCAAGGTCAAGAGAACAACTGAATGCGGAGACCGGGCTCCCCCCCGCAAGCTCACCGGGACCCCCGCTGTCCGAGCCCCGGCTCCCTTTCCCAGCTGGGCAGGAGGGGACGGGCTCCGGGCCAGGGGGACGCGCGGCCGGCTGTGGGACGGCCGCCGCCGGGGGTGGGGAGTGCAATCTCGGTAGCCGGGTGGGACCGGCCCGCCTCACCGCGCCCCGCCGCCCGCCTCACCGCGCGCGCCCAGCTCGGCGGCCGCCACGTGCTCCGTGAGCACCGCCCCGAAGCGCCGCAGCCGCGACACGATCCGCCCGTACAGCGCCCGGTCCTCGCGCCCGCCGCGGACGCTCCCGCAGAAGTACAGGGCCCGGCGGCCCGGCTGGCCCGGCTCCCCGCTTTCCCGCGCTCCGGGCGCCGCCGCCGCCGCCATCCCACCGCCGCCGCCGCCACGCCCCTCCCGGCGCCAGGGGGCGCCCGCTCGCGGTCACGTGACTCGGCCGACCCCGGGAGAAGGTGCCTGCGAGTGAGCGGGGCGAGCTGCGAGCCCGGCGTTAGCCTCCGGACGCTGACGACCGGATCTCGTCCCTGCAGCTGGTCGCCCACACCCCACCCGCTCCTGCGCCCCTCGGGCCCGGGCCTTCCCCGTCTCAGCTAGACGCAGGTGTATCCTCTGGTGACGCCACCTCCCTAAGCCCACCTCCTACTACTCTCACTCGCCGCAGCCACGCTGGCTTTCCTCAAGCATGCTGGCCATGCCCTTTGCATTCGCTGTAGCCTGGAACCCTCTACTCCCAGGCAGCTCCCCGGAGCACTCCCTCACCTCTTCCAAGTCTTCACAGGTCACCTTCCCTGACCATCCTATTCAACATGGCAGCCTCCTGTTCGCAGTCCTCCCTATTGCCCTCCCCTGCCTTACCTTTTAGCCTTCTCCCTAGCATGTTGATGAATTTTTTAAAAAGATTTTATTTATTTATGAGAGAGCATGAAAGGGGTAGGGTCAGAGGGAGAAGCAGACTCCCTGCTGAGCCTGCGGCCCGATGCGGGACTCGATCCCGGGAACTCCAGGATCATGGCCTGAGCCGAAGGCAGTCGCTTAACCAACTGAGCCACCCAGGCGCCCATGTTGATGAATATTGTTGTTTGTCTTTCTATACCCAGTAGAAGGTAAGTCCCCAGGAGGGCAGGAACTTTTCTCTGTTTTGTTCACTGCTATATCCCTAGCTTCTAGAACTGTGCTGGACACATAGGAACTATTTATCAAATATTTGTTGAATGAATGAGTGGATTCAGATGAGAAGTTATATTTGCCAACACTTTGTAATCTGTTCAGCCCTATAGTAGGCTGATAAAAGCAGGGTCTTCAGGGAGGTTGGCAAACACACTATTGTTCACTGGTAATAACAATGATTTCCCCCTCATCATGTGATGAAAATATACAAACATAGGACCAAAAAAAAAAATCAGATGGAACAAGAGAGTACTCAGTGGAAAGTGAGTCCTGAGACCCCAATCCCATTCCCTAGAGGAAAGTTCTGTCATGCTTCCTTCCGAATTCTTCCTGAATGAAAACTATAAAATACCAAGGTATGGGGTTACAGGGCTGACAACAATAATAATTTTTAAAAACACAAAGACAGGGTGCCTGGGTGGCTCAGTCGGTTGAGGGACTGACTCTTCATTTTGGTTCAGGTCATGATCTCAGGGTCGTGGGATCAGGCCTCGCTTGCTTGCACACACTGTCTCTCTTAAATAAAGAAATAAATCTTAAAAAAATAAATAAAAATGCAAAGGCACAGGGGGGCCTGGCACGCTCAGTTGGAAGAGCATGCCACTCTTGATCTCGGGGTTGCGAGTTCGAGCACTGGGTGTAGAGATTACTTAAATAAATAAACCTAAAAAAAAATGCAAAGACACAAAGAGAAGGCAAAGAGATTTTAGGATATATCTCTGTCCTCTGGTGGGCCCAGCCACAGGTACCCAGACCATGGGGCAAACATATACGCAGAGCCGTCCGCTAGGGCCCCAGCCCCCCCCACACACACACCTTTAGGCATCTTTCGGAAAGAAGCCTTGTGTGCCAGACCTCAAGTGCCAGATGACTTGACGGGCAACTTCCTCTACCCTCCTTATCCTTGCTCACGCCTTCCCTCCATTCTTCCCACAGAGAGGGACCCACATACACATGTACACACAGAGCATCCTATTTCTGCCTCTGTGTCTTGAAGAAAGTAAACCAGCCTCTGTCTCCTTAGGGCTCACACTGGTGATGTGGCTGGCATCCCCCTTCCACCTCAGGCTGAAGGAGAAAGAGTAGAAGGACTGGCAAACAAGACCCTGAAATTGGTTCTATGTCCCTATCAGGTGGGGGAGGATGCAGAGCTAGCCGTGGCTTGCAGGTGCGATCCTCCAGCTCCATGGAGAGAGGCCCGAGGTGGAAGGTTGGGGCACTAAGGGGTGGGATGGGGGAAGCAAAGCAGGTGCACAGTCTAGTGAGGCAGCCTGATGGGGGGCGGTATGGAATCCTAATTCCATTAACTACTTGTCAGACAAGTTACTACTTGCTAGCTCTGTGACCTTGAGCAGGTCCCTTAAAGCCTCTGAGCCTCAGTTTCCTCATCTCTAAGTAAGAAATGTTCTCCTGCCTTACTTACGCAGTTTGTTTGAGTATGGTGCGGTTCTGATGAAGTATGTGAGAGCACTTTACAGAACACCAGGTGCTCTACAAATGATGTCATTGTTCAGTTCCACAGAATTGTTTGCATTACAGACAATGTCAAACTTATATACATAGTGCATAATTTCATTAAGAATTTTTTTATGTAAGTTTTTTTTTAGAGAAAGAGAGCACTCTTGGGGGAGGGGTAGCGGAAGAGAGAGAACATTTTTTAAATTTAAATTCAATTAATTAACATATAATGTGTTGTTTCAGGGGTACAGTTCTGTGATTCATCAGTCTTATACCCAGTGCTCATTACAACACATACCCTCCCCAATGTCCGTCACCCCATTACCCCATCCCCCCACCTCCCTTCCTTCCTCCCCTCCAGCAACCCTCAGTTTGCTTCCTAAAAGAGTCTCTTATGGTTTGGAGAGAGAGAATCTTAAGCAATGTTCCCCGCCCAGCAGAGGGCCTGACATGGGGCTCAATCTCACAGCCCTGAGATCATGACCTGAGCTGAAATCAAGAGTCCGACCCTTAACTGACTGAGCCACCCAGGCGCCCTGTAATTCCATTTATTTTTTTTTAAAGATTTATTTGGGGTGCCTGGGTGGCTCAGATGGTTAAGCATCTGCCTTCGGCTCAGGTCATGATCCCAGGGTCCTGGGATCGAGTCCCGCATCAGGCTCCCTGCTCCTTGGGAGCCTGCTTCTCCCTCTGCTTCTCTCTCTCTCTCTCCTCCTCTGTCTCTCATGAATAAATAAATAAAATCTTTTAAAAAAATAAATAAATAAATAAAATAAAGATTTATTTGTTGGGGCGCCTGGGTGGCTCAGTCAGTTAAGTGTCTGCCCTCGACTCAGGTCATGACCCTGGAGTCCTGGAATTGAGCCCTGCATTGGGCATCGGGCTCCCGGCTCAGCGAGGAGTCTGATTCTCCCTCTCTCTCTGCATCTCCCCCTGTCTTGTGCTCTCTCTCTCTCTCTTGCTCACTCTCTCAAATAAATAAATAAAAATCTTTTAAAAAAATTAAAAATAAAAGATTTATTTATTTATTTTAAGGGGCGGGGCAGAGAAAGAGGGAGAGAGAGAATCTTTTTTTTTTTTTTAAAGATTTTATTTATTTATTTGAGAGAGAGAATGAGATAGAGAGCACATGAGAGGGGGGAGGGAGGAGAAGCAGACTCACTGCCGAGCAGGGAGCCCGATGCGGGACTCGATCCCGGGACTCCAGGATCGTGACCTGAGCCGAAGGCAGTCGCTTAACCAACTGAGCCACCCAGGCGCCCTGAGAGAATCTTTTTTTTTAAAGATTTTATTTATTTATTTGAGACAGAGCACATAAGAGGGGGGAGGGGCAGAGGGAGAAGCAGACTCCTTGCGGAGCAGGGAGCCCGATGCGGGACTCGATCCTGGGACTCCAGGACCATGACCTGAGCCAAAGGCAGTCAGGTAACCAACTGAGCCACCCAGGTGCCCTGAGGGAGAGTGAGAATCTTAAGCAGGCTCCACGCCTAGCACAGGGCCTGACTGGGCTCGATCTCACAACACTGAGGTCATGACCTGAGCCAAAATCAAGAGTCGGACACTTAACCGACAGCCACCCAGGCGCCCCAGGATACTTTTTTTTTTTTTAATGTAACCAAAATACCATTATCCCAACTAAAATACTTAACAAGATTTTTTAACATCATCAAGTATTCTACCATGGTTCAAATCTCCAGTTGTCTTAGAAATGTTTGTTTACAGTTTATTTGTTTAAGAGCAGAAGCCATGGGACGCCTGGGTGGCTCAGTCGGTTAAGTGTCTGCCTTCAGCTCAGGTCATGATCCCAGGTCTTGAGATCAAGCCCCACGTTGGGCTCCGTGATCGGCGGGGAGTCTGCTTCTCTTCTCCCTCTGCTCCCTGCCTCGTGTGTGTGCACTCCCTCTCTCTCTCTCTCAAGTAAATAAATATACCTTTTAAAGAAATAAAAATAACTAAAAAAATTAAAGTGGAAACCACATAAAGTCCACATGTTGTGATTGGTTCATATGTCTTTTGAGAGTATTTTTATTTTATTTTATTTTATTTTATTTTATTTTATTTTATTTTATTTTAAAGCTTTTGTTTATGAGACAGAGAACACAATCAGGTAGAGTGGCAGGCAGAGGAAGAAGCAGGCTCCCCGCTGAGCAAGGAGCCCGATGCGGGGCTCGATCACAGGACCCTGGGATCATGACCTGAGCTGAAGGCAGACACTTAAATGACTGAGCCACCCAGGCATCCCTTTTGAGACTATTTTAATCAACATGTTGCTACTGCATATTGTCTCCCCCCAGTCCCCTTATTTGTTCTGCTGAGTTTCCTATAGTCTGGAGTTTACTGATTATATACCTGTAGTGTCATTTAAAGGGTTCTTCTGGGGCACCTGGGTGGCTCAGTCAGTTAAGCATCTGCCTTCGGCTCAGGTCATCATCTCCAGGTCATGGGATCGAGCCCCACGTCAGGCTCTGCACTCAGCAGGGAGTCTGCTTGTCCCTCCCCCTGCTCACTCTCTCTCTCAAATAAATAAATAAATAAATAAAATCTTTTTTTAAAAAGTGTTTTTCTGTCTTATAAATTGGAGTTGGATCTAGAGACTTGATCAGATTCAGATTCCGTTTTGGGCAAGACTACTTCACAGGTGGTGGTGTGTACTCCCATCTTGGGGCATATGATGTCTGGATGTCTCTCTTTTGATGTTAACAACCACTGATGCTCAGTGCCCCAACTGATTCATTCACTCATTCATTCATTCATGGAACATACCAATAAAAATGTTTTTATTATAAAATAAAATCCACTTGCAGCAAGCCACTTTAAAGCAAATTAATTATTATAAGACACTCTTGTAACCACCACCCGTGTCAAGAAATAGGTCTTTAGCCACCCAGAAGTTTCCATGTGCCCCGTTCCAGTCACAGTCTCCTTCCCTCCAAAAGTAAACACTGCCCTTACTTTTTTTTTTTAATTTTTTTTAAAGATGTTATTCATTTGACAGAGAGAGAGAGACAGCCAGAGCGGGAATACAAGCAGGGGGAGCAGGAGAGGGAGAAGCAGGCTTCCCACCAAGTAGGGAGCCTGACATGGGGCTGGACCCCGGGATCATAACCTGACTGGAAGGCAGACGCTTAACGACTGAGCCGCCCAGGCGCCCCGGCCCTTACTTTTATAGTAAGGACAAAAAATGGGCATAAATAAACTTCTTTATGTTTCTTTATGGTCTTATCACCCAAATGTGCATTCCTAGTCATACAGTTTAAACCGGTTCATTTTTTATATGTTTTTAAAGTCTCTTTTAATCTCCAGCTTCAAGGGTATATTTTTTTGAAGCATTTGTTTTGTGCGGGACACTCAGTGGGCACTAGAGGAACTACACAAAGGAGTAAGGACTGAGACTTTAGACTCTGGTCTGGGAAGGGCCAGCCTTGGCTCAAGAATAGAGGTCAATTTAATGCCAAGCAGCAAGGTACAAAGTGTTGAGCAATTCAAAGAAAGCAGAAATCAAGTATGTGGAGCATCCCTTCCAGTTTATCCTCACACTCCTGCTGGTTAACACCCAGAGCAAACAAACACCTGCTTCTTCAGCAACAGGGAGGAGCAGGAACCAGATTTACCCTCCCGTGTTTTGTGTTCATTTGTTTTTCAAATGTGATATTGCTTTCTCAGATTTGTTGTAGAGAAAGGAGGGTTGAGGATCTCTGCCCTAATATATACTGTACCCACCTTACCTGAGTACATTCCGAGTCTCCTCCCTCCGTCCGTTCCTTCCTTCCTTCCTCCCTCCCTCCCTTCCTTCCTTCCTTCCTTTCCATCCTCCCTCCCTCCTCCCTCCCTTCCTTTTCTTCCTTCTTTCCTTCCTTCCTTCCCAAAAGCTCTCTGCCCAGTGTGGGGCTTGAACTCACGACCTTGAGATTAAGAGTCACATGCTCTACCGACTGAGCCAGCCAGGTGCCCTCTGACTCTTATTTCCTCACCATCCCAGTTGTTAGGATGTTTTCTTATGATGGGGATTTTGTGCAAGGAGGGAGCATCTGGACTCTTCGTCTGCTCTTCAATGTCAGGCATCTGTAGAGGCCAAAACGGGGAGTTCGGCCTTAGTGCTCCAGTTTAGATTTTTTTGTGAATAATTATTAATTTAAAAACTTATTACAAAATATATCAAGTATGAGTAAAGTTTGGAGAAGGGTATATCATAGATCCTTGTGTCCACTACTCAGAGTTATCAGATCTTAAAATTTTGTCATATCAAAATCAGATCTATCTATACATTATATATATTATAATATCTATTATAACTATTTTCTGTTATTTTTATAATAGATATGTATGTATATAAAATCTATTTATAATAGATATCTATGTATCCAACAGATATCATATCTAAATAGATACAACAGGTTACTTATATTTAATCGTCTATACACACATGGTTATATTTGTATTTTTCAAATCTTCTATATCTTTACTTTTTTACCATTTATCAATTACTGAGGTAATTTTTTTGAAATCTCCCTTTGACAGTGGATTTAAATTTCTTTCCTTGTAATTTTACCTATTTTTACTTTTGTATTCTGAGACTATTATTAGGTGAGTACAAGTTTAGAATTTCTATATGTTCTTGGTGGTATACTTTTTGTCCTCATGATGTGACCCACTTTCCCCAATAAGTTCTTTTGGACTTACATGTTTTTACATCTTCACTTTTAACCTCTTTGTCTCTCTTAAGCACTTTATACCTGCATTTTTACAAACCCGATGCTCTATCAATAAATTTCTTCCATTTATATTTATTGTGATTACTAACAGATTTGGATATTTTTCTCTTATCCTCTTTTGTGCTTTCTATTTGCCATGCTTTTCCTTGCTCTTTCTGTTGTTTGTCATGCTTTTTTCTTCCTGTGATTTAAAGAAAATTTTCTTTGGCATTGCATTAATGTTAGGTGTACAACATAATGACTTGATATAAGTATGTGCTATGAAACGATCACCACAATAAGTTTAGTTAACCTTTATCACCACATAGTTACAAATATTTTTTCTTGCAATGAGAACTTTTACCATCTACTCTCTTAGCATCTTTCAAATATACAATGCAGTATTATTAACTAGAGTCACCATGCTCTACCTTACATCCCCAGGACTTATTTATCTTGTAACTGGAGGTTTGTACCTCTTGACCACCTTCTTCCACTTTGTGCATTGTCCCTTGACTCTGATAACCCCCCAGTCTGTTCTCTGTATCTATGAGTTTGTTTTTGTTGTTTTTTCTTAAGATTGAATATAGCCATTCTAACAAGCACGAGGTGACATATCACTGTGGGTTTTTTAAAAGATTTTTTTAAAAGTAATCTCTACACCCAGCCTGGGGCTCGAACCTACAACCTCGAGGTCAAGAGTTGCACACTCTACCGACTGACACCCAGGCACCCCAAAGGTTTTATTTTTAAGTAATCTCTACACCCAACGTGTGGCTCAAACTTATAACCCCAAGATCAAGAGTTACATGCTCTACCGACTGAGCCAGCCAGGCACCCCTATCATTGTGGTTTTGATTTGCAGTTCCCTAATGATTAGTGATACTGAGCACCTTTTCATGTTCCTGTTGGCCATTGTACGTCTTCTTTGGAAAAATATCTGTTCAGGTCTTTTGCCTATTTTTAATTAGATTATTTGGGTTTTTTGTGCTATTGAGTTATGTGAGTTCTTTATATATTTTGGATATTAACCCCTTATCACATATATGATTTACAAGTATTTTTTTCCCATTCCATAGGTTGTCTCTTCATTTTTCTGATTTGGGGGGTGGGGGGTGGGGTTTTTGTTTTTGTTTTTGTTTTTTTTCTGTGCAGAAGCTTTTTAGTTTGTTGTAGTCCCACTTGTTTATTTATTCTTGTTGTTGACTGTACTACACATGTCATATTAAAAAAATCATTGCCAGGGCGCCTGGGTGGCTCAGTCAGTCGAGCATCTGCTTTCAGCTCAGGTCATAATCCCAGGGTCCTGGGATCGAGCCCTGCATTGATTGGGCTTTCTGCTCAGTAGGGAGCCTGCTTCTCCCACTCCTCCTCCCTCTCCTCCCCACTCATGCTCTACCTCACTATCTCTGTCTCTCTCTCTCAAATAAATAAATAAAAAATCTTTAAAAAAATCATTGCCAATAACTATGCAGAGGAGCTTTTCCCCTATGTTTTCTTCTAGGAGTTTTATGGTTTCAGGTCTGACATTTAAGTCTTTAATCCAATTAGAGGGGCACATGGGTGGCCCAGTCGGTTAAGCATCTGACTCTTGGTTTTGGCTCAGGTCGTGATGTCAGGGTCACGGGATCAAGCCCTATGTTGGGCTCCGTGCGCAGCTCAGAGTCTGCTTGAGATTCTCTCTCTCCTTCTGCCCTTCCCCCTGCTTTCGTGCTCTTTCTCTCTCAAATAAATAAATCTTAATAAAATAAAATAAAAAAGAGGGACACCTGGGTGGTCAGTCTGTTAAGCGTCTGCCTTCAGCTCAGGTCATGATCCCAGGTTCCGGTCTCCTTGCTCAGCAGAGCCTGCTTCTCCTTCTGCCTGCCACTCTGCTTGTGCTCGCTCTCATTCTGACAAATAAATAAAATCTTAAAAAAAAAAAACACACAAAAACAGAAAGAAAGAAAATTTTAAAAAAAGTTTAATCCGAGTTAATTTTTGTGAGTGGTATAAAATAGGGATTTAGTTTCACTTTTTTTATGTGTGAATATCCAGTTTTCCCAGCACCATTTATTGAAGAGACTGTCTTTTCAAAATTTTTTTAATTGAAGTATAGTTGACACACAATGTTACGTTAGTTGCTGGTGTACCACATAGTGATTGGAGAAGTCTAGATGTCCACTCACCGCAAGCATAGCTCCCCTCTGTCACCAGACAACACCGTTACAGTACCAGTGACTATATTCTCTGTGCTCCTCCTTTCAGCCCCATGACTTATTCCATAACTAGAAGCCTGTATCTCCCACTCCCCTTCACCCAGTTTGTCCATCCTCCTACCACCTTCCCCTCTCAGCAACCATGTTGCTTTATATTTAGGAGTCTGTTTCTCTTTTATTGTTGGGTTTTTTTTAATTTGTTTGTTTTAGATTCCACATATAAATGAGATCATACAGTATCTGTCTTTCTCTGTCTGACTTATTCCACTTAACATAATGCCCTCTAGGTCCATCCATGTTGTCACAAGTGGCTGGCAAGATCTCATTCTTTTTTATGGTTGAGTAATATTCCACTGTCTCTATATACCACATCTTTTTGTTTGTTTGTTTAAAAATTTTATTTATTTATTTGACAGAGAGAGGGCACAAGCAGGGGGAGTGGCAGGCAGAGGGAGAAGCAGACTCTCCGCTGAGCAGGGAGCCCAATGTGGAGCTTGGTCCCAGGACTCTGGAATCATGATCTGAGCCGAAGGCAGACGCCCAGCCAACTGAGCCACCCAGGTGCCCCACATCTTCTTTATCCATTCATGTATCAGTGGACACTTAGGTTCCTTCTATATCATGGCTCTTGTGAATAATGCTGCAATGAACTACAGGGGTGCTTATATCTTTTTAAATTAGTGTTTTCATTGTCTTCAGGTAAATACCCAGAAGTGGAATTACTGGGTCATATGGTACTTCTATTTTTTTAGGGTTTGTGTTTTTTAAGATTTTATTTATTTATTTATTTGAGAGAGAGAGGGAGTGCACAAGCAGAGGAAGGAGCAAAGGGGAAGGGAGTGGGAGGGAGAAAGAATCTCAAGCCGACTCCAAGCTTAGCATGGAGCCAGATGTGGGGCTTGATTTCATGACCCAGAGATCACAACCTGAGCTGAAACCAAGAGTCAGACACTTAACTGACTGAGCTACTCAGGCTCCTCTGACTGACTTATTTCTCTTAGCATATACTCTCTATCTCCATCCACATTGTTGCAAATGGCAAGATTTCATTCTTTTTAAACATTTTATTTTTGAGTAATCTCTACACCCAACATGGGACTTGAATTTACAATCCTGAGATCAAGAGTCTACATTCTCTACCAGCTGAACGAGCCAGATGGCCCTATTTTTAGTTTTTGGAAGAACCTCCATACTGTTTTCCAAAGTGGTTGCACCAATTTATATTCCCACCAATAGTGCGCGAGGGTTCCCTTTTCTCCACATCCTTGCCAACACTTGTTATTTTTTGTCTTTTTGATACGAGCCATTCTGAGGTATAAGATGATATCTCATTGTGGTTTTGGTTTGCATTTCCCTGATGATTAGTGATCTTAAGTATCTTTTCATATGTCTGTTGGCCATCTGTATGGAAGAAATTGTCTTTTCTTCACTGAGTATTCCTGGCTCCCTTTTCAAATATTAGTTGGCCATATATGCATGGTTTTATTTTTGTGCTCTTTTTTTTTAAAGATTTTATTTATTTGCTAGAGAAAGAGAGCATAGGCAAGAGAGAGTGAGAGAGCACAAGCAGGGGAGTGGCAGGCAGAGGGAGAAGCAGACTCCCCGCTGAGCAGGAAGCCCAATGTGGGGCTCGATCCCAGGACCCCGGGATCATGACCTGAGCTGAAGGCAGCCGCTTAACCAACTGAGCCACCCTCCAAAATAGGCGCCCCTATTTTTGCGCTCTTGATTCTGTTCCATTTGTTATGTGTCTGTTTTTATGCCAGCACCATACTGTTTTGATACTCTAGCTTTATAACATAGCTTGAAATCAGAAGGTATGATGCTTCCCACTTTATTCTTCTTTCTCAGGATTGCTTTAGTTTTTCAGGGTCTTTGTGGTTCTATATATACTTTAGGATTGTTTTTTCTACTTCTGTAAAAAATGTCATTGGAATCTTGATAGGAATTTCATTGAGTCTATAGATGGCTTTGGGTAGTATGGTACATTTTCATATACCTATTGGCCATTTGTATGTCTTTTCTGGAAAAATGTCTATTTAGATCCTCTGCCCATTT